ACCGATGGTTAATCAAGGCCGCGCTCATTTTGTGACGCAGCTACCACAGCTGCTGACTAGATGCTAACCACGCGCGTGAACTTACAGACCATTGGGGGCAAGTTATATTGCAGGAGGACTCCTTGGTGTTCAGATCCACTTCTGAGTTTCGCCGCGGGGGCGCCTGCCAGACGCTGCCGTTGCCACTCTTGGAAGGGCCACCCGCGTGGCAGGATGAGTTAACCAGCCACCGCCTGGCGCCCCTTCCAAGTTTGCCAAAGACCGCCGTTCGCCGCGGAGTCAGGGATCTCAACCCGTCGTTCACCACGTGCGATTTGGGTTACCAGCAAGATCCTCATCATAACGTTCCCCATCTTGACGTTCCCAGGACGCCGGTCTTCATTCAAGCTGCCCGTAAGACGCAAGAAGTTGATGAATCAATATGGTTGGTGCCATGTTCGGAATGCTGTTGCAGATAACCCCAAGCTCATCTCGTCTGAGGTTATCTCTGGAGAGTCTCGCAGCAACCGTGGCCAGATCAGCACCGCACTGCAACTATGCGATTTGCGACCCAAGAGTTAGCCGAATTCTTTTACCGATCTGGCGGATGGGGAGGTGATCTACTACGAGCAGTGCGATGACCCCGAGCAGCGAAGTAGAGAAACGATGCGTGTTCCGCGCGAGGCCCCCGACACGCGCTGGGCCACGCGGAGCTCAAGATCGCGTCATCGCGCACCCACCGCGCAGCTGACGTTCGCCATCACGTTTCCCGTCGGAAAGTCCTCGAGCGCGTCATCGCACCAAGACGAGGGAGTAAACCGCTTGCCGGCAGGCGCTTCCCGGGCATTCGACTCCGACCTCTGGGTTTCGAAACGGCAGGTGGATGGCGGACCCCGGCACAGGCAGGGAGCTACTCAGGATGAAGGGAGATATGCGCGCAGGTTCCCCCTGTTACAGGCGCGATAACCCCGGTCGTCCACTCTGGGAGGCAATGGAAAGTTGCGAAAAAAGTGGTGCGCAGGAGCACGAGGCCGATTCGGGACAACGATTACGATTGCTAGGTCAATCACGGTCAGCAAGATGAGGCTTAGAAGTCAACGACCATGTGCGATCCAAGTGATTCGGTTCACAGGTCGCCCATATTCATATCTGGCAACACTCCAGAGCAGGTGATGATGTGCGGCGGACGCGCAAACTCTCCACATGGAGGTCGGCCTGCCGCAGTTACCAGCGCTGATCCTTCTATTTTCCTTTGCCTGCCGGCAAGTACTAGTACTGATGACGTTCAGATATTCAGCGTAAGTCCACACTTTGCGACACCAGAAATTTGTGTATCGCACGTTCGAGGGCCCCTGCACGTGTACGCCCAAACCGTAGTTGCTTTGGCCAGTGCTAGTTCTGCATGTTTCCGGTTCAATGTTTTATTGTCCTCGTTGGGTTGGAGATTCGGCCTCTGTTTAGTTACGCCTGCGCAACAGGATCGCGTCTTCCCCGTTTCAGATTTCGGCCACATGGCTGAGAGGGGGTGTCATAATATTGCGTTGCGACTGGGTGAGAATGATGTGCTTGCGCGTTGGTTTGGCGGATGTCGTTGCCGACGCCGTGTTGCCCCAGTGGCCATAGATACAGTGCGCATGTGGCTCAGTACGGTGTATCGAATATAATCAATCCGTTCTTGTGCAAGCCCCGTTCGTGGTGTTGCAGTCATGTGTGTATTCATTCGAACACCACCTTGTCATGTATTTCTTCCCCTCTCGGGTGAAAGGGAGATCGATTTACCCCGCCCCTGGGGGGTCTGCGAGTCGTTTCGCTTCTTTTTAAGCAGCTGCTCTGGTTAACCCCCCCCCCAGGGTCGACCGACCCTGGGGAGGGAGGGGCTGGCAGCGTCTGACAGGTACTTATGCCACCCGTGTCCAGTGCCAGGAGAGGTTGCTCCCCTTCGTGCGCCGCCGTGCGCGCGTGTTCCGGTTCGATCGCGCCGACCCCTTCTTCAAGAGAGGTACTGGCACGATCGATAGGGGAGGGTCAGTGTCGGCACGATCGAGGGGGGGTAGCAAGAACGGGTACGAACATCCACAGCAAGTCCTGCCCAGTTTGAGGAGGACTCGCCGTCGGTGTCGCCGAGGGCGTTGTCCATTTGAGGCGAAAGCCGCCTGCCCAACATCGGCCTCTGTTGGTTTCGGCCACGCTGTTGGGCATCGTACCCATGTTGTGGTACCCGTATCGTGTGCGCCAAATGGAGGGAAAAATTTCGGGGGTGCCCAAGAGGGGGGGTTAGGACATCGTGTGCGTGCGGGTGTCATCCTTCACTCGTCCGCGCACCTGCCGCGGGCCATCACGCGTGCCCCGCCCCCTTCTTCCTGGCCCCCCTGTCTCGGCGCACCCGAGAGCAGGGGGGAGTGACGATCTACCAATGCGGTGGCCTGATGGGCTGCGCCTTGCTGACGGTCAATGTCTGTACGATGTGGCGGGGTACAAGGAGGACGATCGGAGCCTAAGGAGAAGGGTAGCATCGAAGAGGATGTAGGGATGAGAAGGTTGATGAAGAGAGGACGCCGAGGAAAAGGAAACGGACGTCGAGGGGGGGAGGAACATCGCGAAGAAACACCACAGCATGAAACGGAACCGGAAGTAGAAGAGGATGAAGGTGAGAAGGTGGAGGAATAGAATCATGAGGAGCAACGGGAGAGGAAGTGGCGGAGGCAGGAGCCGGAGGAAACATAATCTTGAGAGCACGAAGGAAAGGGGCCGGAGGAAGCGCAGTCGGAGAGGACGAGAGGAGAGCGCACGCTCGGCGTTTTTCCGTGCGCAGGGGTGGCGTTGGTGGTGGTTGCGCCTTCCGCAGCCTTGCCGAAAGAGAGAGCGCGCGCTGGGTGTCTCCTTGAGCCGTGGGGCGGCGATGGCGGGGCGGGCGCGAGCCCAAAGCCCAGGGGAACGCGCGCAAGGCGCTCTCCACTCCGCAGGGGCCGCGTTGGGTTAGGTCGGGCGTGTCCCCCTACAGGTGCATGTTGGAGGACAATTCGAAGATAGTCAAGACATGCCGAGAAAATAGCAGAAAATGATCGAACCATAGTCCCCATATGATTTGTTACTATTCTTGAATGTTCCTCCTGTGGAGGGACATGCCCGACTTAACGTTGGCGGGGGAGACGCAGCCAGAGATCCCACAGGAGGAAGCAGGGGAGAGGAGGAAGCAGAGGCATGGATGACAAGCAGCAGGGGACGGGCCCTTCCGGCAGAGGAGAGCTTGGCAGGGGTGCTCCTGCCTGCAAGCTCTTGGCTGAAACACCGCCTTTCCCCCGAGGCCGCCGTGCTCGCTTGAAGCCTGGCTCGTTGTTCTCTTTTTTGTATGTCTTTTCATGGAAGTGTCATTGCGTCGCAGTGACCCTCTCCTGCCGCTGGAGGACGCTGCAGGCGGAAGTGAAGGAGCAAGAATCGTCATTGTCGCAGGAGTAGGCCTGGAGGGAGAGGATGCTGGCCCCAAGCCTGGCGGTGCGGCCCGTACCCGGGAGCCTAGGTGCAGGCGCCGTGGCTTGCGTAGCTGAGGGCTGGATGCGCATGCAGCCGCACATCCTTCCAGCGCTGGGCCCTCGCCTGGCCAGGTCACGCCGGCCCTCCGCACGCACACCCTTCGCGCATCCGGCCGCGTGCGTTTCCGGCGTCCTCGCGCCCTTGGTATGAAGTCCCGCGGCGCTGCTGCGCTGTCCTACAGGGCTTGCACCAGGCGATCGCGTCCCCATGACCCCCCGGCTGCGGACGCCATGGCCAGCCCCAGCTCAGTCAAAGCCATGCCGGTGTATGTTCACCCCGCCGGACCGCTGAGTGGCTGGCCCCAGTCACAAAGGTAGTGGCGCAGCATGTTGCCTGACCATGCGGATGAATGTGACCCCAGGGGGCAAGTGAGTCGACTTCTTGGCAAATCTTCGCGTATCGCGTCCCTGTTGCCGACCAGCCATCCCTACAATATTCTCCAGTTGAGTGTCTGATTTGCAAGGGGATTTTGTTTGTCGCTCCAGTGCTGGATTGTTAAACATGCCCCTCTTTTCCTGATGGTGTTCGGCTTGTGCATTGCGGCTCATTGATTTCATTCGCCTCCGTCGTCTCCTTTTCTTCTCATGTTCAAGATCTTTCAGCTGAGTGTTGAACTGAGAAGCTCTGGGGATGCAGTCTTGTTGCCTCGTGAAGAATAGTCGTCTTCTCTTCCTGACGGAATCGGAGCTTGTGCTGCCCCCCCCCTTCTCGAAGTGACCTGCCTAGGGCGCCGTGGCCCTGCGGCCCTTTTTGAATTAGTCTCGCCATCCGGATCGTTGCACAGTGTGACAGGTTTGGCCACCATTGGCTCGATGCTGGCAGTCCTCGTTTTGCATGTACGCGCGTCCACGCCACTGTTGCTCATGCATCTGCCGTAGCATAGTGAAGATCATTGCGCGCTTGCCTCCGACCACCGTGTAGATACCGAAGGATCGGACGAGGGTGACCACTGCTTACCTTCGAGGGTTGGTGACTGAGTTTGGCCATGACCCAGTGTGGTCCCCAGTATCGTTTAACCGACCCCTATCCCCATCTCCATCCCCATCCCAAGCCCCACTATCTCGCCCCCCGAGTGGGGGATAGACATGTCGAAACCCGCAGGAAACGGCTTATGTCTCTCCGTCAAGGAGGGTAAATCGGCCTGTAGGGCCCAGGCCACGCCGTCGGGGAGTTGGGTCGGATAAGCGATGTTGAGGTCCCGCGTGTCTGGCTCCTATCCTACGCTGGTGCAGCACAGGGCATGTGTTTCGAGCAAAGGAGGGGTATAAGTGAGGAGGAGAACGATAACGGCGACGACTGGCAGGAGGAGGAGAACGGAGATTATACAGAGGAGGAGGAGGAGGAGGAGGAGCAGGATGCGGACGAGGATGACAAGGTGGATGAGGAGCAGGAGGTACATTGACACAGTGTCTTCTACGAAGTGTGATGTATCACCCCCTCCTCGAATTGCACAGCGGGCCTTGATGAAATGGGCTGGCAGCGAACCCGAGGCCTCGTAGACGAGGCTGACTTCAACCGCCTCTGTGTCATCGTCGGGCACGGCGATCACATGCGCGCCATCTGGGACGCCATGCGCCCGGGGATGTTCGCTGTCAATCGGCCGAGGGGCGCGACATTTAGCCTCGGGGGGGTGGAGTGAGGACACTGATGCGCACGTCGCGGGCTGGCGGGGGGGGGGGCACGCATGAGACCCCAGACGATGAGAACGGCGACAATTCGATTGTTTTCTTTCTCGTTGACCACGTGATGCTCGTCCTTGTGGTTGGAATGCCACTTTCCTCCGTCAGCTCGGAGCGCCTACAGCTCCCCAGGGAGTGCTTGCACTTTCTTGGCCACGCGGGGCCGCGCGCCCCTGCTGTGCACTGCAGGTGGGGGGGGCGGGAGGAGGCGCCGCAGCACGCTGCGACGCAGCACTCCTCGGTGTCTTGGCTGCCCGGTGCGCCACTGACTATACATTCGTCTGAAGATTTGAGACGGAGGCCGATGCAAGTGGTGGTCGGCCAGAGCGCCGCATCTTGTTGGATTTTGCACAGCCAGGGGTGCGCTGGCCCCCAGGCCTCCGTGCAGGATCGTGCGGGATCTCTGCGGGATCCTGCAAGGCCTGACTGACCAGGGTTTGCACTGACCCGGGCCAGTGAGTCCCCGAATGCGGCCACCATTGTTTCCACCACCATTTGCGCCGTCCGCTGCCTCTGCGGTATTCTTGCACGCCTCGTCTCAACAGGCGCGTGCACCGTTGCGCCTGAAGCTCGAGGAAGGCGAATCGGCATGAGCATAAACGTTCGGCTCTCCGCGCGGATTCCTTGGATCGGCGCTTGACGCCCCTGGCGCGCTCCTTGCGCTGGGGATCGGGGTTCAGCGCAGATCCAATAGATCTGCGCGGACCTCCAAACGATTCTGTTCGTGCCGTTTCTCTTTCATTCGGAAGCGCAGCGGGTGCCGCGCCCACAACGTCTGGGTTGATTGCGCCACTCGTTGGCTTTCGTCTTCTGTGCGACGGTGGCGAGCCAGCACGCTGCAAGCTCTCCGCGCTGAGCTCCGTGCGAGCGCGTGCTGCGCACCGGGGAAGCCAGGCTCGGTGCGGCGCCCGCAGGCGTGCCAGCACGGTGCTGGCACGCCTGGGGCCGCGCCCGCCCGGGCAGGTCCCCCTGGAGAGCCCTCCTCCTCCTCCTCCTCCTCCTCCTCCTCCTCCTCCTCCTCCTCCTCCTCCTCCTCCTCCTCCTAGGCTCCCGTCGACGCCACAGGCCGAAGCTGGCTCGGGGGAGGCTCGGGAGGCCGGGCGGGGTGGCGCCGCCAGGCGGGGAGGAGCACAAGGCGGTACACAAGGGCGCCCTCGAGGGTGCGAAGTTACTCGCGCTTCGCGGTTCGGCTCCGACTTCTCCTCCTCCTCCTCCTCCTCCTCCTCCTCCTTCTCCTCCTCCTCCTTCTCCTCCTCCTCCTCCTCCTCCTCCTCCTCTTCCCCCCTGGGAGGCGGCGCGAGAGCGCGAAATGATTCGCACTTCGCGCCTCCCCCAGCGCGAAGCGCGAAGTTGGGAGCCCTTGGACCCCGTGCCCTGGAGCCGCGGCTTCTCATCCCCGCAGCAGCCCGGCCGTGGACAGTCGCAGGCCTCCTCGCTGCCGTGCGCGCGTGCTGACGCGGGGTGCCCTGTCGGGGCGCGCGGTCGAGCAGTGGGGCGCCGCCCCGCGGTCTGGCCCCCGCCTGCCTTGGCCCCGCCGGGGCCCCGCGTGGCCCGCCAGAGTAGGCTACACGCAGGATCAAGTCGGGCGCGTCCCTCCACAGGAGTAGCATTCAAGAGTCATAGAACAATGGTGTGGTGACGATGTTTCGTTCTCCTGTGACCAGTTTTGACATGCTGGTTGACTCCGTTTTTTTGTATTTGCTGCCAGAAAACCCGCCTGACGGAGGACATGCCCGACCTAAAACGTATGGAGTGGCCCTTCGCCAGAGTGGCACGCCGCCGCGCTGTTTCGTCGCGGGCCTGCCGCGGTGCGGGCCTCGTCTGCTTGGGCGCGGGACGCAGGGCTTCCCGTGGGTCTGCCGTGGTGTCGGCGTCGTCCACTCGAGCGGCGCAAGAGAAGCAGGGCCGCCTGCGCCGACATTCGCGCGCAAGTTGCCCGCGTGAGGGCGCGCGTGAGCGCCCTGGTCTCCGATGTGGCGTGCCGCGCCGGCGGCCCGCGTGAGCCGCGGTGTGATGTCGCTGCGTCATCTCGCGCAAGACCTGTTTTTGATCGTCGCTCATCTGGGCGCGTCGAGAGCAAGCGGCGCGGCGACACATTCGGTGTGGGCACCGTGGGATCCCAGATGGCTGACGTGCGATTCGATGGCAGCGGGCGGCGCGCTCGGCTCTGGCACCCCCGCGGCCTCGAAGGCTGCGCACTGGAGGCCACCTCTGCCCCGAGCCACGTGTTGGTGTGTCGCCGGCAGAGGCCGAGCGCGGGCAGCGTGGCAGGCATCTGCATGGGCGCCCCCCGACCCGGGAGCGAACGACAGTATCGACGGCACGCTCGCCTCTGGGAGCCCGTCAGCGTGTTACCTCGCAGCTTGTGCCCGAAGGCTTCGCGCGCTCCCTCGCCGGCAGGCACGCGCCTGGCTTCCCCGCGGCGGCGCGCCACCGACGACGGAGGTGTGCGTGCTGCGCCCCCGGCGACGGCGCGCCGCGGCCGAGGCGCGAGGGTGCCGCCCCTGGCGCTCTGCGAGCTGGACCCCGAGCTGGCGGCGACGGCGCAGCAGTTCGCGGAGGCCCTGCTGGCGAGGCGCCTGCGTGCGCCCCGCCGCCCGCCGGCCCTCGCCCGGCCCGCTTCCCCGCGCCCTCGCGCCCCTGCGGCTGCTGTCGGCTCGCCTCGCCTCGTCCTCCCCAGCGGGCCCGTGCGCGGCTCGCGGTGTCGAGAGGTCCAACGCCACGCAGCCGTTCCTCTCTCTCTCTCTCTCTCGCGCTGCCGCGCAGCAGGGCTGCGGCGATGTGCAGCGCTCGAGGGCGGAGGCATCCTGCGGCAGTGGGCCGGGTTCCCGCCCGCCCCCCGTGCGCCGCCTGCGGCGAGCGCGAGGGGGCTCGCTGGCCGCCCAGTGCCTCCCCCACCGTGGGCTCGAGCTGAACGGTGTTTTGGCAATTTCGTGGACCGTTTTCGTGTTGACTTCGTTTTGCAGCAAATGTGGAACGAAGACAGAACCAGGGATGACGACAACAAGACGAAAACGGGAAACACTGCTTCACTCGAGCCCTGTCCCCTTCCGTGGGCACCCCCTGCTTTCCCACGGGCCCATGGACTTGGCCCCGTCCCTGGCCAGTTTCTTCTGTTCGTGAGAGGAGGGCCCCAATCGCTCTCTCGGGGCCCACGCGCCACGGCTCACGCGCTCGACGGGGGCACAAGCTGCTTTCAGCGGGCGGAGGGCTCCTGGAGAGACGATGGGAGAGGAGGCCGAGGGGTAACGCGGATGGTCATGGCAACCTTGGTGAACACGCCCAAGGCATCTGTGGTGAACCGCACGGCGTGTCGCAGGTGCCGCCTCTGGCGGGCCGCGCCGCTCCATTTGCCCTCGTGGCATCGCCCAGCTGGCCAATCGTATGCTCCCTGAGCCGCTGGGAGGCAGTTCCTTCTGACATGGGGAGCCCCTGGGGCACTCCGGCGGGCTGGAGATCTCTGGGGCCCCGAGAAGCCCTCTCGGAGGTCCTGGTGGCCTCGAGGGCCGCCTTGGAGGCGGCTTGGGGCGGGCTGGAGACTTCTGGTGCCCCGAGAAGCCATCTTGGAGGTCCTGGCGGCCTCGAGGCCGCCTTGGAGGCGACTCGGGACATCTTGGGCCACCTCGGGGGCCTCTTGGTGCCACATGTGCGGCCTTTTGGGGCCCTGGGGTCTTCGGAGTATATTTCCTCGCGGAGGCTCCTGGGCCATATTGGTCGCTTATTGGGCCAGATTGAGGCCCTCTTAGGCCCGTCTGAGTTCGATTTCGGGGCATCGACGGCCTGAGGTCGAAATCGGACGGCTCTAAGAGAGCCCCGGGATCCTGGGGTCGTCTTGGCCCACCGGGGCCTCTCCTGGGTTCGTCTTGCAGCCATGCTTCGAGGCCTCCAAGATGGAGTCCGAGCAGGTGGGCTGGAAGGATCGCGCCGCACCGCCGATGCGTCGGCGACGCGGCTCGATGTGGAGCCCAGTTCTGCCCACGGCAGCGTCGCCCCGGCATCGCCAGCGTCACCGATGCATCGCCGAAGCATCGGTGATGCACCAGGCATCGGCGCGATCCTCCGACCCCATCCGCTCGGACCCCATCTGGGAGCACTCCCATACCGGCCCCGACTGCACTGGGCACTGCAGCGTCCCCAGACATCCGACGCCTCGATTTTTTCGAGACGCGGGCCCCCGACCTCCCGACCACTTCCCTGGGACCGGTTTTTCATCCCGAGTTGTTTTTTGACGGCCCCGAGGCCCGGCGAGGGCCCCGAGAGGCCAAAAACTATGAAAAACCTCTGTCTCGATTTTTTCGAGACGCCCGATGTCTGGGTCTCTCGGCTGCCTCCGCGCTCCGGGAGGCCCGCCCCCCCCCCCCCGGAGGGGGGGCTTTCGCTCCAGAGGCAGGAGGGAGGTCGGCGCCCTCCCGCGGACCTCTCGGTCGGCCGAGCTCTCTCCGGGCCGGGGCCAGGCCCCGAGGCCCGAGGGCACGGAGAGCAGGCCGCCGACGCACCCGCACCTCTTCGGGCTCAAGATTGGCTCCAAGCCTCCCCTGGACTTTTGGCGCGTGTTTCACTCGGGGGTCGGACAGAGCCCCCAACAGTGACACGTCGATTAGTGAATTGTCCGTTGTCGGTTCTCGAGAGGGCGCCGTGGCCGTCATTCTCCAGGCTTGCGCCCGCCAGGTTTGGGCCCGCAGTCGTTTTCACTAAACCACGTTTTACTAAAGGGAGGTCTGTCCATCCCCGATTCACAGGGGTGGTGGGCGAGAGAGGCAGGCGGGGAGGCATGGCCGAGCCGAATGTCAAGTTCACCAAGGACGGCAACGTGGGCATCTTCACCCTGAACCGCCCAAAGGCCAGGAACGCCGTCAACGCGGAGCTGGCCGCCGAGTTCGAGGCGCACCTGGAGGCTTTCGAGGCAGACGACGACCTGTGGGTGGGGATCGTGGAGAGCAGCAACGACACGGTGTTCTGCGCGGGCGCCGACCTGAAGTCCATCAATGCCGGCAAGCCCGTGTTCACCGCGAAGGGCGGTTTCGCGGGTTTCGTGCAGTACCCTCGCACCAAGCCGATGATAGCGTGCGTGGACGGAGCGGCCCTGGCCGGCGGCTGCGAGATCGTGCTGGCCTGTGATCTGGTGGTGGCCTCGACCAAGTCGCAGTTCGGCGTCCCTGAGGTCAAGCGAAGCCTCATCGCCGCGGCGGGCGGCCTGTTCAGGCTGCCGCGCAAGCTGCCCCACGCGATCGCGATGGAGCTGCTCCTCACTGGGGACCCCATGACGTGCGAGCGGGCCAACGCCCTCGGCTCTCAGAGCAAGCAAGCGAGTAAAATGCCGAGAGTGAAACGCACACGAGCACATAGCCACTGTCACGTGGTAAGGTGCGGGCGTTCCGTTAAGGGATGTGCCTAGGAGGCTTCAGGCCCTGGCGGATTCCTTGCTTGATGAGGGCGGCGATGATATCCATGGCCAAGCCCTCATTGGTGCTCACACCGGCTTCCAGACCCTGGATTCCTTCTCTAAGGGTTCCATGTTCAATGCCCTCACAGTATCGCAACGCTTACTGACTGCGACCCGCCACCCCGTGGCCGAAGAAGTGGTGTCCTGCCACAGCGCCGGAAGGGCCTCCACACCCCCAGCTGCTTCGCAGGCGTGCCTGCAAACGTCCCGGGGCCACGCTGCGCGCGCGGCTCTCGGAGGAGGCGAGGCTGCCGACGCCGCCGCCCGTCCCTCGCCGCCACGGCTGGATCCGCCTCGGGAGAGCCGGGTCCTGGTCAGAACGCGCTGCGGGAGAGGCCTGGTGGTCCTGGCCTCCCAGACATGGGGTCCGAGTGGGCGGGGTCGAAGGATCTCGCCGCATCGCCGGTGCATCGCCGATACTTCGCCGATGCATCGCCGCCGCGTCGCTGACGCATCGGCGAGGTATCGGCGATGCGGCGCGATTCTCTGACCCCGTTTTCTCGGACCCCGTCAGGGAGGCCTCTGAGAGCGCAGTGCGGGAGACGTCTGGGACACAGCGGTGTCGATAGCTTTTCGCTTCCCCAGGCTTCGTGAACGTCGCGTGCGCCCCGGGCGAGGCGATGAAGGAGGCCCTGGCCCTGGCCAAGCGGATCACGGCGAACGCCCCGCTGGCCGTGCGGGAGGCGAAGGCCAGTCGGGTGCCAGCATCTCTCGGAGCGTGAGTTACCTGCCCCGCTTTCGCTTCCAGGCAAGACCAAGTCATACCACGCGCCTCCTCGGCAGCGGCCTGACCAGTACAGGCCGTAGTCTGGCATCGCCTGGTGTCTCTTTTGGAAGCGAGGGTGGTCAAAAGCGAGGTAGGTTTGTTTGCCCTCTAATCTCTCACCTCCCGCAGAGGGTTCGTAGAGGGGGCTCTTCCAGGGCGGGATTCAGGAACGAACCCAGTTGGGGCTGGATGTTCACACGTCCTTATTCCAGGGGCAGTCCGGAGTGATTTTCATCCATCGGGGAAACGCAAGACCCGAGGAAGCCGGAACTCGGGTTTGCCGACGTTTTTTTTGACGAGCGCGTCCCGGGTGTCTGCAGCGGGAGCTCGCGTCAAAGTTCAGACTGGGCCTCGTCTTTCTTGTGATGGCCCCGTCGGGCCAGCCCGAGTCCCCCGTACCCGAGTCTTTCAGGAGGAGAAAAAACACACAGACACAATTAATCGTCGATTTCCTAGGAAAATATGGGAAAATATGGGAATTGGTGGGGACGACAAAAACCCAGAAAATATAGGAAAATATGGGGAATCCTTTTATTTGTGTGTATTTATTTGTGTGTCCCAGGGCCCCTTTACTTACGTCTCCCCGAATCTAACCCCTCCTCTGCCCCTGCCCAAACCTTCCTGTCCCCCCGATCCCGCTTCCTCGCCTCCCCTCTCCAACTGCACTGTACGAATCTTGCTCTCCTCTCTCCCCTGACCCTGTGCGGGAGGGGTCCGGCCCCCTCCGCGTAGGGCTTCTGTGGCACAGGTAACGAACAACCGTGTTCGTCTGCACGTGCGCTCACGATCCAGTCGTTTTCGGTGTTTCACGATGGTGCTCCCGCGGCAGCGTGGGCTTCATCTTCGGATCGGCGCTGTGCCCCCGTCGTTCAGAATGGCGCTCCCGCTTCAGCGCGGGCCACTTTTCTGGATCCGAGTGCGTTTTCATTGCTGTCGCCCCCCTCATTTCCCCTCCACCTTCCCCTGCTCCTCTTGCTCCTCCCATTCCTTCCGCTCGAATTTCTGCTGCTGCTGTTCGTCCGTCCTCCTCCATCCTCCTCCTCCTCATTTTCCTCCTGCCCATCCTCCTGCTCACCCACCACCTCATCCTCCTCCTCCTCCTTCACCTTTTCCTCCTATGTACGCAGGTCCGGACCGAGAAACATCAGCGCAGTGTGAAGATATGGGAGGGAGGGATACGTAGGATTCCCCCCTCCTCCCCCTCGCTGTCATTCCCATCCTCCTCGTCCTCTCTCTCCTCCTCCAGGCCAGACCAGGCCCGGAGGAGCGCGAGGCCTTTCAAAGATGGTGCCTGGATGGAGTGGGTGTGCGGACTCCGGTCTGCGCTGGGGGGAGGGGGGGGGGCAGCAGCCAAAGGAGGCTAGAG